TTTCAAGCAATAATAAGCCATAATAAGAAAAAGAGGCATTGAAAAATAATGGGCTCTATGGTAAACGAAGCAGAAGGGATTAAAATCCAATAGCGAATTTATTCTTAATCAAGCTTTTTTCCTTAAAAAAAAAAGGGCCGCCACGGATGAGATTATCTCCACAAAAATAGCTTTAGGGACGGAAGAACCGGCGAACTATGTCACCAGGCAGCATCCGCTACACGAGGTCACCGAAGATCTATGCCGTGCATCGACCGGCAGCGTGTATAGAGGGGTGGCCGCAAATTACGTACAAAATTCAACGATGCCGCCGTCTCTCCGCTCGTTGCGAGGCAGATTGAGAGTAGCGGCACGTGTTTCGGGACTAGCAGCTCGCGACACGCTCTCTCGATCTTCCACGTTGGGAACGTCGAAATATCGCGCACCCTGTTCAACGATTCACGAGCAATCCGGTCAAAGATGCATACGGCTGCCCTTTTTCCGAAACACGGCCTCTCGAGAACAGCCGGACTCGGGCCAATGAAAACTGTCAGTAAAACACGCCACTTCTAGTCGGGATTGAAGTGAAATAAATCATTTTTTCCCACAAATAGCTCAAAGTATAATTTATTTGCAAATTTACAAATTAGAGTTTATACGTACAAAGTATCATCAATATTTTCGAAAAAGAAATAAATTAATTTCGGTGAACAAAACTATTGATGTCGTACTTCCTTGATAATAATTAGTCGCAGAAGCTGATTAAATCGAATAAATGCCTCATACTGCCACATCCCTTTTTTGCACGTTTCGATCGGCTTGCTTCGAGGGTTCGTTCTATCGAAAATTGATTAACGTCGATTCAATTAAAGGCGAAGGCGTATTTAAGCCGTCATCATAAAGCTAGCGCGTGTGTCACATCAATCGCGCACCCGAGGCTATACCGCCGAGGGGTGCGGTCGCATCCCCGCGCGATTACAACCGCTCCCACCCCCGATTACCGTTGTTCTTCCATCCCTTCGCCGCTCGCCCCCGCTCCAGACACCTTCGACAACTCCAAACCCGTGTCGAACGTGTCTCGGGAGCACGCGACGATATCGTAACGATGTTAGGGCGACTGGGGAAAGGGAAGCTTTGACGAGAAACGATCGATGAGAAAGAGAATATACGACAAGGAGGGAGAGAGAGAGAGAGAGGGCGGTTAAAGCGGGAGACCGCGGTGCGCGGCGTGCTCGAATGGGAGAACGTCGTCGGATGAAAGAGCGAGTGCCGCTCAAGAAAGGGACAGGACACGATTTATTCGATACGGTAAAACGAAACTCGTGGGAATCGCAAAAGAATGTAGACTTATGTGTACATAAAATGTATATGTATATGTATTAATCACTTGGTATGAAGAAAATGCTTATCAACGCTTATCAACGTCCGAGCTTGAGGGCAGATTGATATTTTTATTAAAATTATTTTATATTATATACTATTACTGTGTCGTTGTCACAGACTTCCTAGATGTGCACAGCAAATAATGTAATATATTATTTTATATTGTGTAATTATGGTGCAATTTGTTTCGTTGTACAGACTTAATTTTGGAACGTTAATATGAAATGATAATTGATTGACATTAATATGGTTTCGTTTATATTTTATTATAATCAAATACAAACGAAACCATATTAATAATTATGTATTAATAATTACTTAGGTGCACAAAACTGACACACTATTACATTAATAAACATATATATTAATGATATTTAGAAATTCATGCTCGTTTCTGATAGCAAACTGATGAAATAAAATAACAAATATCTTTCTCAAAAATTAATCATTCATTATAATGTGAATTATCTTAGAACAAAGCTAGCATATATTTATTATGGTTCATAATAAGCACTGAAATCAGGTAAAAGCTAATATATGCAAATGCATAAGAGAGCTCAAAGTAAGGCAAGATGATTACGTAGCCGCGGGCGAACGAATATTATTAAATGAAATGGATGACTTTTTATCGCTGGCCACGAAGTACATTCTTTATAGAAAAGATCGACGCACCTCAAAGCAATTCTGCTCATCCAATGAATTTTGCATACGTTTTGATGAGGAGATAAAGAAATGATAATAATATCGCAGTACGAGAGCCATTTATTTAAGAAAATCTGTCTTAAATATTTCGTAAAATTAAATATCGCGGACTTAGAATTCATTTATCGAAATGCCTCGATTTTTCCGATAAACAGTGCGCATACTCGGATGATGTAATGAGAGGCAAAGGAAGAGACGGCGAAATAGAGCGGGCGCATCGCACTTAAAGTGCGAGAAGGAGAAAACCGATGTGGTATAGCGGGCCGTCTTCTCGTAGTAGACGAAGCCATTTACGGGCACGTAAGCGGTTCCCATTGTCTATGAGGTATAATGGAGTAATCTCGCGGTGATGCGCACCACCGAGGCCGATATTCAAATCGCGTACCTCTTACACGCGCGTATATGTATAATACATTGGCCACCGTCAAGTTTGTGAAGTTAGTACGGCGAATTTTTATAAAACTAATGCGGCATTTGATTGTCCACAATTTCACCATACTTGTCCAGTCATAGTTTTTGGTCCACCTTGTAGAAGAAAGTTATGCGCAAACAAAAAGAAAAAGAAATAAAATTTTATCACGAGCGCAATCTAAATGCGTTTGTAATACATAATTTTTCTTTATAAAGTGGACAAAAAAATTATAGGTGGGCAAATATGATCAAATTGTGGACAATCAATTGCCGCATTAGTTTTATAAAATTTCACATTTTGGGATCCCAACTTTACAGCCCTGTCACCGCCGTCTACTAGATCGTCTTCCGGTCGGCACGAAAGCCAGCATCGCCGTCGATGCCACGGACCAAACTCTCGCGATAAGCGCAGTATTCAGCAATGTGCAACTACTTTCGCAAATTTCATACGGCAGGCATTGTTATACCACGAGTGCATTTACGACACTCGACAACTGTCGAATCTGCAACGATGGTCAAAACTATATTTATCGACCTTTTTAAAACTAGTCTGGTAAAATGGAATCTCTTTTATTCTCTAAAATTTCAACACTGTTTAAATCGTGCAAAAAATTATTATTTAAAAAGGTATTATTTCTTTTTTTTTAATTTAAAATAAAATCAGAATTTTATTTATTTTATATGAAATCCAACTAATTGGGAATAAAAATATAGTTTCCAAACGCAATATTTTTAACAAACATGTTTAAAATTTTTACAAAGCGCTTAATTTTACGTGATAAATGTCATGTTAAACAATATTTTATCGTCATGAAAAATCGGAATGAAAAATCGTCCGTCTGATTTCGCCCACCCAAATTCCTTTTAATTACCCGGCCGCGCCTAAACTCCTGCATTAATCGTCGCGCGTATTTCCGAGTAAACAATATCACGCCTATTTGTCTTCATTAAACTCTTCGAAATACTTCAGCATGATTAAACGCTCCGAAATGTGAGCTTCTTGTTACGGTCCTGGGGCTCGTGGTTTACCCGTAAATGTACGCGTTAACGCACACCGACGCGACAACCGCCGCGCGCGTATAATGCACACGTCCGCGCGTTATGTCCTGCGCGCTCGCGCTCAACACCCTCCCCGCGAGCGCGGGCGAGCGTGTACGCGATGGTTACGGCGATATATCATCGCACGTCCAGAGTCATAACGTGACGCGCAACACGCGGGCGCATCAGTCATTTAGCCGCAAATGGAATCTGCTTCCTTCCTCCCGCCGCATTTCCGCGCCTTGTACACAGTATTTTGCGCGACCGCGCGCGGCCATTGTGCGCCACGCTCACGGAGAACGCGCGCGCATGATCTCGCTCGTTTACGCGGCGATGACGCGACGAATTCTCCGCCGGTGCAAGAGAGAGAAGGACGTGAAAATTTCGAGTATGCCGCGATGAATTTAGGAAAACTGGCCCTGGGACAAAACTTGGAGATTATTCGCAGCTCAATGAGTGGTCACGTCGCGATCGCTAGTACTAATCATTAGATTAGGCAATTGGGGAGGAGAAAGGCGCATTAACTTGGGAACACGCATGTGGGGTGATTCAGTCACCCTAACTCCTGCTTTCGACAGCCGTACAAAGGGATTTGATGAACGATAATGACCAAAATACGAATTCTTCGATGATTTATCACTAAATCAATCAGTATTTTAATTAGTGCGCACGATTTGCACGAAACAGAATATTCCGAAATTACCGGACAAGAAACCGCTGTGTAATTTATTTACCAATCACAGTTCACTTGCTATTGCAGATGTTTTTGATGTGATTAGCTAGTTATTACAAATACAATTTTACATTATGCGAAAGTCGTGTTTCAATCTTTCTTGAATAATTTTTGTACAAAGTATAGAGCCATTATTCAATGTGTCATCTAAAGATTAAGAACATTCAAGAAAGATGCTATTTCAAAATTATGCTACTGTTTCGTATGAATTCTCATTCAAGAAATCGGAGAATACATGCCAACATTTTCGCTCCATTGATCGAGAAGTACACTCAAAATGAATTGTCTGGTCACTCGATATCTTCATCAAATTCCAGCTATTTTTGGTTGAAAATCGTTACGAAGCGAGCCATTATACGGTTTCTATCTCTTTCTCTCTCTCCCTTTTTCAACAAAAACCGGAACGTACATATATCTTGCCGTGGAAATGGCGAATCAACTAAACAAAATATAATCAAATTACTTCACTTAATACCGCTATTAATATACGCCAAATGTAATAAATTAAAAAGATAGTACGATAAATTATAATGAACAGTGACATTTGTGTGTTATACTGTTTCAAAAACGGCATAAAATATATTACATAAAAGCATGCTGCATAGATTAAACGAAACTAATATTTTTCAATCTCGTGTTTTTTATCAACCTTTTGCATTTCCGAATCAAATATTCCAAAAAGTATCGTTGGGTATCATCTTTAAATAAAATCTGGTCATGCAATATTCTATTTGTCCCTCTTTGTGAATTTCAGATTTGTCACAGAATGACTCATAACAAGAGCCGAGATGCGGCGTGGAGGCGCGACACGCTCGAGAAATGTCGCAGGACAGCGCGGGAGGCATACGCGATGCACGATGCAATCTAACGTCAGGGAGGATGTCTTGGCGGCACCTGCGTCTCGGTAAGAGCTGTAACACCTGCGATGCTTCTACTTTTTTGCCTTCTCGTTCGCCCGTCTTTTCTCCACCGCTTAATGGACTTTAACGAGTCCTGGGAAGTATGAGCGCGGGTAGGAGGGGAAGGGACGACAGAGACGCGAGCCGCTGCCGCCGCCGTGGTTAAATTAGAAAACTCTCGGGACCCTTGCGGGAGCAAGGGGGAATATTTAAATTAGGTGAACGCCCCTACGTCATACCGTATCCTTAATGAGTTGGATGAGGGATCGAGATTTTTTGGCGATCCCTTCAACGAGGGCCGCACATTCCCTACATTTCTCGTCCTTCCTTTTCCACCTCGTCTCTTCGAGCAGGTGCGAAACCGGTATTTATTCTGCATTGTACAGCCCTATGGATCAAGATCGCCGTCGTCGTATAATGGTTTATGTGTATTTGTGTGTCGACATGTATATGTTGATCGCGCGCTCATAAACATATATCTATATTTTAGGATCTCATAAAATAAAATACGTAATCATTACAAGTGATTTCGGAATATTTACGATTAAAAAATTAACCCGAGTCACATGACAGAGAAAAATATCTCACGATTCTACATTTTTATGACGCCAGCTCTGCAAAATCAATCTGAGAAAAATACAACGGAACAGATTTTTCTATTTTTATAATAATAAAATTTGCAGTTTATTTCCGTGAAAGGTTAATACTGTAAAAGGTTGGGTCGGTTTTTCTGAATTTTTTTCATAATAAATAAAATATTGCTCAAAAAGTTTCGTCTTTAACATTTATGTTAAACTCTTAAAGTGTTTAATAATTTATTGCGCGAATATGGTATTTGTAGCAATTTACGCTAACACTAATGCGTCATGTACTTTTGTTGGTCAACTAAAGCGGCGGTTATTGAACTAACATACAGATATATAATTCATATCCCTATGTGTATGCAATAATGCCGACCTCGCAACAGCATCCTGGCTGATTAATACTACACTGCCTGCCTTTTCTCCCTATGAATATTGCTACAGCGTTATAGTAATTATTATTACAGATCGTTGAATTATTCCCCAATAATTAGACCGGTTACGTTGTTATATCAATATAATTCCGGATGTCGCGTACACGATGCATAATGAAGCTTGTCGTAAAATAGTGTTTGCGCGTGTGCATATCGGTGCTCGATTACATTTGAAGCGGAAAATCATTCTCGTATAAAAGGAACCGGCAGTCTCTTACAAAGCTCAAACATGATGAAACGTCTTTCTTCCCTCGTCTTATCTTAGATGCTTAAGCAGTGACGAACTTCCGTTCTTCAAGTAACACGCACTATCAATTTAAGAGGTGCATAATGCTTACGCCGATTATTTCAAACTTAGACAAAAATTACATTTATAATTGTTAATATTATTAAATAGATAAAAATCTTTTTATAAAGAGATAGTAAACTTAGGCAATGTTTAATGTAATAATAATATTTTTATAAATAAGCAAAGCTGTCTTTGAAAATAAGTGAGTTTTAAAAAGCCAGAAGAAGTAATAAATAACGCGATGGAAAAAAAGAAAAGACAAAAAGGTGGAATTTTCACGATTGCGTGTCTGTTTTGGGAAACTTTTTGCACTCGTCTAAATTTCAATTAAGCGCTCCTCGTATCACGTTGGCACCCTCGGGTGTAGCGTCGAATATCTGACACCGTCGTGTCGATCCATAACAACCGCCTAAAGCTCGTCTAAGTGGAGTCCTCTTCGCACCCCCGAAAAGGTGCGACTGTGATAAGAGAAGAAGTATCTCGCGTGATCAAACTTCATAAGCGAAAGCGTCCAAAAACCCTTAGAGATAAGCAAGCTCGTTGTCGCTTCTTTGAATCAACGTCGTCCTTGAACCTTACACACCAGATGCCGGCGGGGTGTGTCTAACGGCCGTCGCCGACCCTCGCCGCTGCTTTATATTCGTCTCAAATCGTGCATATTTAATCGCAAAAGCGGCTACGATCTACTTTCCTTAGGAGTTAATCGCGCTGGAGCCCGCGCGGTAAATACGCGCCCGGCTGAATCCGAGATCGGCGCCGTCCTATCTCTCTTCGAAAGGAGTTTTCGGGAGGATTCCAACTGACGCGCAGTGAATCTCCACGCTAGGAGAAAGAGAGAGAAAGAGAGAGAGAGAGGCGGGTGCATACGCTATCGGATAAAAATGGAGACAGTTTTCCGATATGAAACATTTCCTGTCGGAAATAAGTGAATTAAGAGAAATCCTGTCTGCGCGAAACTGAATTCCTAATCTCCGTGCTCGAGAGGATTGGTTCTATAACTGTCGAGTTCTTTTTTTTTTTGTTCCTTCCGCTGAGAATAATACATGTTCATTAGATGTATAACCGAAGAAAGTAGATTTTAATTGTTCTGGATGGGACGAAATCCAATTACGCACTCGTCATCTTTCCTAAATGATATATCTACAAGATCTACTGGGAAAAGTGTATATATATCATAATTAGAAACATTACACACACAGGACCGATCAATTTAAGCAAAATTATTATTGCACGGGAGAGAAACAAAACTCATTTACACATGCATGACACTCGATGAAATATAGAAAATTCAATTTTCGTCCGCGGTCATTAATCTTGAGTGGATTTTTTTTCTTAACAAAGAGATATAGCGGCCATTGTCAAAAATGTCATAGAAAAAAAGTATCGGGGGAAAAAACTAATGCTGCGTATGATCGCATCGTAAAGGGAATATCTCCGATTCGAGTGCGAGTGACGCCGGCACGAGATCGCAGTTACATAACGTTACGCGAAAGTTACGCGACATCACGTGAAAGGGCTTTTCGTTTTTCACATTTTTCATCGCTTTTCCGCGCGGCGCGGCGCGGAGCGGCGCCGAGATACGGAATTACAGTGAAAAAGGGGACGCCCGGATGTAACACGTCGAACTGTCATCACGAGGACGTCTCGTGCGAGTGAATCGTTCCAACTAAAACCGAGCGACGTGTCTATTTGCGTCGCTGCTGGCACATATCATCTATCGAATGAGAACGACGGAAGTTGTGCAAAAGGATCGCTCCGGGCGTGCGCCGCTGGCAGACAATTAAAAAAAAAATTTTTAGTTGCCGTATTTAGTAACGCGTGCGATTTCGAATACGTCGAACGCAAGATTCGTTTCCCGCAAAACGTTGTGCAATTTTAGGTTGCATCCCTCCATAACCAGCAGATATGATTAGAGAAATATCGAAAACGTATCTAGGAGTAAATCTATATCTATTTTGAAACCATTGATGCAAAATATATACATAGAATTGCAGACACAGACAAAAATTCTTTAAAATTCTCTTAATCTCACAAATTTAAACTCTTTTAAAAAATGAGAAAGAAAATTATAATAATTATGTGCCTTTCAACTTATAGATGCAGTCGAGCAAACTTGATCAAGTTAGTCCGAAAATTACTTTAAAAAATTGTCTTCGCGATATTTTATAAACAATATATAAAAAATCCGACGCATTGTATTTTTATTTAACACAATCAATTAAAATATAAAAACTTGTGCAAACGCGAGGATCGCGAATCGGTCTCTTCCCGACTTTGAGAATACTTCGACGCGTCATTCGGAATATCGCAGCGGCGGGATGCACACATAAAAAAAAAAATAAACTTCCTCTCACCGGAAAATTTCGGTTTGCCGAAAAATCCACGCGATACGGAAGAAAACGAGAGAGAAAGAGAGACGGCGGAAGACCGTATCAAGACGGAAGTGCAACGAACGCGCTCGCGGGTGAACCTTTATCAGCCTCCAGAGGCACGTGGCTGTTGGTACGGGTCGAGAACGACACCGGATATAAGCGACGGATAAGAAAGTTTCGCGGCGCTATGAAAAATGCAACGGCCGAGTTATCGTCGACGTGAATTTTTCATCGGTACGAGTCGAGTCCTGGTCGCGAGAGCTACTCGCGAGATTCCCATCCTTCGTCCTGCTTTCTCGTATACTTCCACATCGGTCGATCCTTTCCTCCCTCTCACCTACCCGCCGTCAAACGGATGTAACAAGCATCACGCGTAAGAAGTTCCGGTCTGACCGTCGGCGATGCCGGTGAGCGACGCCAACTTTCGTGGCTTCCGGAAACGGTCGCATGCATAATGCAAGTATATCGCAGCAATAGTATTATGAGCTAAAGAAACGCGCTTTTTGCGGGATCTCTTAATCTCTTCAAGAATAATTTTCTTAAATTAGAAAGAAACGAGAATTGCGATTTGTTTCGTTATAAAATTTAAGATAAATCAGATTTTAAAATTAAATGTTTCGATAAATTGCGTACACAATTTATTTGTTAAAAAAAGTGACCTTATGCAAAGTGTACATAGATATTGTTTCTAAAAAGGTTAAAAAAAAATTAATAATTTTCGATATAGTTAGAATGTATAAAATTTTATCCAGAATTTATAAAATATTAATTTGAAAATGAAATCTGGAAAACGCACACACGCAGACCCAAAATTTTTGCAATAATTAATTAATTAATATTGATAAGAGATATTACATACATTACATTGAAATGTTTATTTTGCATGGAAATTCATTATGCTTAAGAATATTAAATATATTCGAAATAGCTTTTCATTGACGCAATAATTGCGTTTAACTGACCATTATGTAGAAAATGTATTTTACATTGCATGAAATTTGTATAGCTACTATTGCGTGCGTGCAATATTGCGCAAAGTTAAAATTTGAATCGTGTAGTTTCGTGCAACAATGCGGATAAAACTAAACTGTAAACTGAGCATACATTATAGATCGTTATATCTGCCCTTTTTACATCCCAGCCGCACGCTCGTTTTCCTTAGCGCAGGATGTTTCTCTGCAACGGAGAGAACCCAGTTTCCGAAGTGTTGCTGCACTCTGAGAGCGCAGCGAAATTCTTCGCAGAACTATGCAGACGGTGGTGGTCCGTCGCGAAGAAATAAGACGGCGCCTAATAAAGTTCCGGCTGTACGGCCGAGTGTTTTCCCCG